AATTGCTGCAACTTCTCAATGGATTGATATAGAGTCAAATGCTTTTCAGCGTTGGTTACACGTTACCTTATGATAGATCTGGGGTCATTTTTGCATCTTACAAGTCCAAAATTTTCCTGTTGATGAGGAGGACTGCTGCCCCCCTTCAAACCCCCCAAACAGAAGTAACAACTTTATTTCATGAGGCTAACACATTCAGTTTCCCCATCTTCCATGCGGGCCTCAAAAGAAGAGGGCACATCACCCTTCTGGCAACCCCCTGATGTATCCTTTGGGTTGGGGGCCGCGCCTAAAAAGTGGTCACTTTTTTTAACAACATTTCTCAAATGAAAACATGTGTTTGGGGCCCAAACAGGATATTTTTTGTTGCGCGTTGTTTCGCGTATATATGAGGTAAAGGGTTACTATGCTACATGTACTTTGTTTACAATTTTCTGCTTTTAATAACAAATTATTTCACATTTTGCTTTTTCAGGTAATAAGTGTCTTAGTCCTTTTTGTACTTTCTAAAGAATTAACCATTTATTTGTTTCTAAGGCATAATGTGCCTTTAAATAAATACTAGTAACATCATTTTCTTTATTGATACATGGTACAGTGCTAGTGCATTATATACATGTATGTATATGTATATAAATTTGAAATTTTCCTTTTATGTAGCATGGTGAGTTTTCTTCATGTAATGATTTGTACATTTGGATAGCCTTTTTGTAGCCATCTTAATTCTTTGAAAATAGGGTCAGATAGTGCATCTGCAGCTTTATCTAGAATAATGCGAACTGTTTGTTTCTGAAATTTTAGCATTCTCTCAAGAAGTTCATTTGAGCAATTTCCCCAAATTGAACAGCAATAGTCTATATAATAATATAGTCATTGTAGAAAAGTTTCCTGGCATGTAAACTGAGATTTTGTTTTAACCGTACATGAATATAGAGATTACTATTGCATTTCTTTATTGTTTGTTCAATTTGAATTAAGTTTCCACATTAGACAATTGTCAACTTGAACTCCAAGAAGCTTTTCAGATTCAGTAAACACTATATTTAATTTTTTTTTTTTATCCCAAACAGTGATTTTATCACTCAATAACATCACTGTTTGAAGTTCGGATGCGAGGAATTATATCATGAGGGCGTAGCCCGAGTGATATAATGATGCGCATCCGAACGACAAACAGTGATGTTATCAAGCGATAAAATCACCAATTTGGATTTATTATTTCGATTCTAACACAACATCAACAACATGTTCAGATGCGCATTATTATTTCACTCGGGCAACGCCCTCGTGATATAATTCCTCGCATCCGAACTCAAAACAGTGATTTTATTGAGCGATAAAATCACAGTTTGGGATATATTATTTCTTAAATAACACACACTTTCGGTTCTTCTATATTCAATAGGGAAAAATGTGGGTTGTGTTAAGATAAGTATTTGAAGTGGTGTACTTGTTGATGCATGAAAAGAAATGATACATGCGGCTGTAACCCATCCTTAGAAAAACATAAATTTACGTGTGAGATATAATTATGGTTTTGCATGTACTTTCATCGTTGGTTTTTGTGACAAAAACCCCTTTGAAGTTGTTTTATCAAATATGATGTGGCTTTTAAGGAAACTTAATTTAATTAAACTAATTGAAAGTCTTGTTAAGCAATTAGATGTATTAAGTATAAAAAAAATGACTTTCACTAAGGAAGTTTTTTTTTTAATATATATATATAAATACCAAAACTTTTTAAGTAGTTAAGTAATTGCGGTTATAATTATAACATCCCTTTCGAGCTTGAACATAATTGCCTCCTTTTACAGGCATTTTTATATAATTAGCAATGTGTACATAACTATTAATTCAGTTAGTTTAAATAAGTAGATTACTATAGTAATATTATCAAAAGTCGAAATCCATTTAATATTCTATCCAGCTAGCTTACGGAATGGCAGTTGCATGTTCTACTCGGGTGCCCCCATCATCCTTAAAATAATGCATGGAAGGGCACTTGAGGTCTTCCTCCATCAGTAAAGCTGGAACGTTGTCATAATTATGTCCAATACTGTGTTGGTGTGACATAAAACCCAAACAAACAATCATTTATTTCTCTCGTACAATGTATAAAAATCAAGACACTACAAGTGGACAAAAATAAACTAATATACAATGAGGCTGCACTAGCAATTGAGTTACACCTAGGACTCAACAAAGATGGTCACACTGCTCCCTAGCTCCTTTTAGATGTGTATCTTATCTTCGTCTAAAAATAGCATTATTGTCAAGGATGTTATGGTTACAGTTTTATTTTAAAGTGAATTGGTCAATAATGGAAGGTCTGTTATACAATAAATAATTACGTTCACAGTATTTAGTATCGGACGTACATGTAACAGCAAACCATGAAAGAATTACATATATATATATATATGAGCCACGTCAAGACAAAACCAACATAATGGGTTTGCGACCAGCATTGATCCAGACCAGCCTGCTCATCCGCGCAGTTTGATCAGGATCCATTGCTGTTTGCTGTCAGTTTCTCCACTTGTAATAGAGTTGATAAGCGAACAGCATGGATCCTGATCAGACTGCGTGGATGCGCAGGCTGGTCTGGATCCATGCTGGTCGCAAAAACATTACTGTTGGTTTTGTCATGACGCTTCTCATATATACTCTTTAAGGAAACTGTGCCCATTGTAGACCAATCCCCTTTAACGTCAAAATATACATTATAGATATATTTATACTGTACATTAAATTTTTTATTTACAATACATGTACTATATAATGCACTTGTTTTCTCGGAAGACACATTCAATTTTGTATTGCAATACAATATAATGCATAATTGATTTCTCGGAATAGGCATTAAATTTTGTATCACAATAATATATAATGCAATTGTTTTCTTGGAATACACTTTAAATTTTGTATTACAGTACAATAAATTGCACTTGTTTTCTCGGAAAAAAAGAACAACAACACTTAAACGAATTCACCGAATAATTGCAATCGTTATAATCTTCTTGAATATTTCTGTCTAACTTTGGAGTTAAGTAATTATTTAGTAATTGCCTAGTTCTGATTGCTGAATATGTTGAGAGTAAAGTTTTTAAAGCTGCATGCCTCGTGATATAATAAGCCAAAATATATCAAGAAAATCGAACTTGAGAAAAATCTACTAAAGTTTTAAGAAAAGTAAAAGATTCAATATTCAAGTAATAATTTACATATTATTTGTGATTAATGACTGGTTTTGCAGTATTTATCACAATAATTTCTACTGCGTTACTAACGCATTAAGAGCTAATTTTGCATATTTTGACCTTTTTTTTTATATTTAATGTGGATTTTAAGTGCCATTAAAATTTTGAAATGTGTAAATTGCTCTCTCTGTTCACTTCACAATATCTAACCTTTAAGGGACTCCACTGAGGTTTAAAAGCCTATAACATAAACATTTGAATTTCTTACATAAATGAGCTGGACACTTAAAACGGAAATATATATGCAAAGATAGTTTAAGAAATTTACTTTGAAATAAATTGCAAAATCATATTTTTATGTGTTTCTTAGCCCGATTTGAGTGAAAAGCGTTTAAACGCTTTTCATTTTGGGTCATTTTTTTACAATTTGAATAATTATTCTGGAAAAACGAAGTGTGCGAATGATCTGAAATTTTGCACAAAGATTAGTGGTCTAAACCTACATCAAATGGTATATTTATCTGGAAAAAATATTTTCATTCCGGCCATCATGTCAAAAAAAAACTCAGTGGAGTCCCTTTAAATAATACACTCCAAATTTTCATGAAAATTAGCATGAATCTGGAGGCGTGCTGCTTTAAAATAGAATTTACAATTTTTAATTGTATTGAAATGGTTATATCTCCATTTGAAATATATCAAATACTTAATTAATATTCAATCTTACAAGAGAATAAAATTGAGGGGTTTTTGTGTGTGTGTTTTTTAAGGAAGAGGTTTCTTCAATTTTGAATGTGGAAGATATTTTCAGTTATTCATGTGTTTTATTCTAACATTTGTTCAAAACAACAAAAGGGGTGTTATATATGGGACATTTTTAATTTCGCTGAAATCATCCATTGCTCCCCGTTGTCATTTACTACCCAGTGTGGAGGATAGCAGATATAGAATATACTTAGACGTTTTGGCCGAAAATTCCCCGATAAATCCCCAGTTATTTCTTGGGTTAACCACAATGTTAAAATATAAAATATGTGAAACACGGCTTTGCTTTTCTAAGTGTATTTCCATCTTATATTGTGTGTTCAACATCATCGATGAAAAGGAAATTATGAACCTTAATTGTTTTAAAAGAGAGATAATTGTCCTGTAGTGTAGAGTCTTCATCATTTATCTTTAAATGACCCTACCTAAAATTATCTTTACTCCTATAATATCCTTACTCCTTTAATAAAATATTTTCCTTTTCAATATTTTGTGTTAGCAATCATTTTAATTTTTGTGATTGTTTAACTAACATTATTCGTTTCCATGAAATTTCTCAATTTCTATATTATCCTTTGCAGGTTTATTAGAGTTTTTACTTTATCTTATCTGTAAGAATTTCAAACTTTATATCTTTAGGCAATTTGACGTCAGCGTAGCTTCTGTAAGAATGTTTAAATTGGAAAAGCCAGAGCGATTTGTGTTGGTATTATGATAATCATATTAGTCGCGTCATGACAAAACCAACGTAATGTGTTTGCGACCAGCATGCATCCAGACCAGCCTGCGCATCCACGCAGTCTGATCAGGATCCATGCTGTTGGCTATCAGTTTCTCTACTTGTAATAGAGCGAACAGCATGGATCCTTATCAGACTGCGCGGACGCGCAGGCTGGTCTGGATCCATGCTGGTCGCAAACACATTACGTTGGTTTTGTCGTGACACGACTCATATGATAATCATATTACAAATGTCAACATGATAATTCCAAATACTTATAATATATAACTAGAAGTTTATGTAAGTTTTCGTAAAAATAGGAATTACCACACAATTGCTGTCTGACCATTAACAGCAAATATATTACTTGATGAAACGAATGTAACTATTACTGATGGAACAAGTGGTTTAATGATTTTTGGTTTCATAATCTGAATTATATTCCCCCATTTCAAAGTCAAGTCCTGTGAACTGAAAGGTTTAACTTCCTTATTGCCTGAACCTGTATGTATAAAACTGAATTGTAAAGAGTAAAGCATAAAAGAGCGGGTGTTCACTCTGAGAAGGGTGAAAATGACTCCGAAATTTTTCGGAATACATTTTAGTGTTTTAGTGATCTGTATGTTTATAACGGTAGGGAAGTCACAATGGAGAGGGTGAGTTTTTTATGTTATATATATATGGCTTGTTAATTTTATTCAATTTCAGAATTATTGTTATAATTATAATCAGTTCAATGAAAACAAACGCTTTTCTTTAGCTTTTGACGTTTAGTCTTCTTCAGAGAAAATTGACGTTTATAAAATAACAAATGAAAAATGACGCAAAGTCTGTTTAACTATACGCTAAACAGAACGTGACGTTTTAAACACCGAAATAAAAACTTTGTCAAATAAATACAGAATCTTTCATGAACATAAATACAGCAATATACCGGTGCAATAAATTAGTCATTTAATATGGATCTGCACATGTGATACAAAAATTCTTACAATTAATAATTATTTTTATTTATTCTTTTTTTTTTAGAATTATTGTTATAAATTCAATTCATGATCTGAGATTCCTTATTGTTTTTTTGTTTGTTTTTTGTTGTTTTTTGTTGTTGTTTTTTTGGCAAAAGAAAAAAAACTAATTTTTAAGAAACTTAAATACATAACAAGATGAATGGGATTTTTGTAACTATTCCACAGTGCTCCAAAATTTTACAAGGAGCTGTATTCGGAGCAATTTATTTATATATATTCTTATAACCTTGCATTTTCATACACCTGTTTTGAAAATGCGAAGGGCCATAAAGTGTTTTCAAATTGACATCTAAACTTTTTTCTTTTTTTTTTGCTAAATTTATCACGGAAGAACCTTGAATAAATCATAGTCAATTCTATTTTTGACTATACATTATGTATATGATTGTCAATAACAGACTCTCATAAATGAAGTTAGGAAATTTCTTTAGCTCAAATCGCATTGCGAATTTTATTAACTATTCAAATTTTACAAATTTCGCTTATCCAAATTTTACAAATTTCGCTTATCCAAATCGGGTAAAAAAATTTGATTATTGATTAAAATTGAGACTTAAATTGTAGATATTTAAATTGAACCTGGAGGTTTTACTCAAATTGAAAGTCTCCCCAAATCTTGTCTAGAATTTTGTTAGCTCAGGTAAGTGTGTAAATTTTGCTTATTGAAAACGAGTTTTTGAATTGAGGCTGGAAATTTTGTTCATTCAAAATGAGTCTGGGTAATAGTATGTAAATATAGCTGTTTCATAAATTATCGAGTTTGGAAGTTTGCTTATTCAAATTCAGTCTAAAAACTTTGCTTTTTTTCAAATCGAGTAAAAATATTGCTGATTATTCAAATTGAGTTTGAAATATTCATTTATACAAATTAATGGTTAAATTTCAACTTTGCCTTGCTTTTAACTAGTTGATATCGGATGTGTTTTTTAATTAAATAAAATGAAAATTCATCATAAGATATTAAGAATTTGTCTTTTATTTACATTTATGTAGGCTTCTCTTTTTAAAGATGTTAATTTGGGATGGGAATCACATGACTCAAATGTTCTGAAATAACTCACGTTTACTATACCGTTTTTAGCTCACCTGTCACAAAGTGACATGGTGAGCGTGACAGGTGAGCGTTTGTGATCGCTTTTCATCCGGCGTCCGTCCGTAAACTTTTACTTAAACGACATCTCCTCATAAATCGCTAAGCCAATTTCATCCAAACTTCACAGGAATGTTCTTTTGGTAGTCAACTTAACAAATTGTTCAAAGAATTTAATTCCAAGCAGAACTTTGGTTGCCATGGCAAGAGAAAGAAAAAACTTAAAATATCTTCTTTTAAAACCTCCTTGGTCGAGGGGTTAGAGTCGATGACTTCTAATCTAGTTACCATTCTGGCGTGGGTTCGATCCTGGGAGATGCTTTGGTAGTTTAGCGCGGAGGAAGGTAGTCTAGTACTGGTGTAACTCTCCAGGAAAGATGGTTAGGAAACTACCCGCCTATATGACTGATTGATATACTGTTGAAAAAAGGCGTAAAATGAACAAACAAACAAACTTTTAAAAAACAAGAGCTAGAGCTTAAATATTTGGCATGAAACATCATCTAGTCAGCGTCTACCAAGTTTGTTCAAATAAATGCCCTGGGATCAACATGGGGGGGGGGGGGGGGGCAGTGGGGTCATTGATTTTCCTTATTTGTATATAGTAAAAGCCTAAAAATCTTCTTGTAAAGACACCCAAATAGCTAGAGCTTAGATATTTAGCATAAAACATCTTCTAGTGGGTGTCTACCAAGTTTGTTCAAATAAAAACCCTGGGGTGAAAATTGGCACCACCCCAGGGGGTCATTGTTTTTCCCTTTATGTATATAGTAAATCTTCTTTTATAAACCCCGAAGAGCTAGAGCTTAGATATTAAGCATCAAACATCTTCTAATGGGTGTCTACCAAGTTTGTTAAAATAAGAGCCCTTGGGTTAAACTTTGCCCCGCCCCAGGGGTCATTGATTTTCCTAATATCTGTATAGTAAAAACTTAAGAAATCTTCTCATAAAAACCCAAAGAGCTAGAGTTCAGATACTAGGCATGAAATATCTTCTAGTGAGTGTCTACCAAGTTTGTTCAAATAAAGGCCCTTGGGTCAAAATTGGCCCCTCCCAGGGGGGTGGGGTCATTGTTTTTCCCTATATGTTTATAGTAAAAACTTAATAAAATCTTCTTATAAAAACCTCAAAGAGCTAGATCTTAGATATTTATCATGAAACATCTTCTAATTGATGTCTACCAAGTTTGTTCAAATAAAAGCCCCTGGTTTAAAATTGTTCTTGGCTCCGGGGCATCATATACAGGTGAGCGATTTCAGGACCATCATGGCCCTCTTGTTATGTCTTAAATGCTATAAAGTAATAACATATAATTATGCTCTATTAATACATAAAATAGTAACGTATATTATTCTCTATTAGTACATAAAGTTGTAACGTACATGCTCTGTTAGTCACATAAAGTGGTAACATAATTTATATGCTCTATTAGAACATAAAATAGTAACGTATATGCTCTATAGTAAATAAAGTTGTAACGTATATGCTCTATTAGAACTTTAAGTAATAATGTATATGTTCTATTTATACTATGCTCTGTTAGAGAATAAAGCAGTACCATATTGTATATGCTCTTTTAGTATATAATTTAGTTACGTATATGGTTTATTAATACATTCAATACATTAATAGATAGTAACATATATGCTCTATTAGTAAATGAAGTAGTAACATATATGCTCTATTAGTACAGAAAATAGAAATATATTATTCTCTATTAGTACATGAAGTAGTAACGTACATGCTCTGTTAGTACATAAAGTAGTAATATAATGTATATGCTCTATAAGAACATAAAATAATAACGTAACTATGCTTTGTTAGTAAATTTTTGTTTGTTCATTTTACGCCTTTTTTCAATAGTATTTCAGTCACATAGGCGGGTAGTTTCCTAAACATCGTTCCTGGAGAGTTATACCAGTACTAGACTACCTTCGTCTGCGCTAAACTACCAAAGCATCTCCCGGGGATCGAACCCAGGCCAGAGAGGTAACTGGATTAGAAGTCATTGACTCTAACCCCTCGAACACGGAGGCAGTCCTGTTAGTAAATAAAGTAGTAACATATATGCTCTAGTACAGAAAATAGAAATATAATTATATGCTCTATTAGCACATAAAGTAGTAACGTATATGCTCTATTAGTACATAAAGTAGTAACATTATAATAATTATGCTCTATTAGAACATAAAGTAATAATGTATATGTTCTATAGTACATAAAGAAGTAACGTATAATTATGCTCTAATTTTACAATTAGTATATAAAGTAGTAACATATATGCTCTAATAGTACATAAAAAAGTAAGGTATATGCTCTATTAGTAAATAAAGTAACGGTTTGTCAGGGCAGAGTATCTTTCTTTTTCTCAACATATTTCTTGTTTTTACTTTAATTACAGAAACACAGAGTCTTATAAAGAATGGGAGCAGAGCACATGTAGCTATTGTATTTGCCGGTATTCAGGGTAATCAGATTTTTTTTTGTCCTTTTATATTTTACCACACATTTTAATAAGTTATAGAAAGAGCATCGAAACACGAGGTCATCTGATTTGTACGAGGGGGGCGTAGCCCCCGAGTATTAATCAGATTGCTGGGTGTTTTGATGTTCTTTCTCTTTTGTATCATAGTCAAACATAAAAGCATGTTCCCTGCTGTCACAATATGAAAATCCAGAAATTAGTAACCAATGAAGGAGCGTCTGAATACGATATTTCTTTCGCTATCCCTTTCTCTGCCGTCACAATTAGTAAACCCCAGCAAAAATGAGCCAATCAATGGGCATGCTCTGGAGTGCGGGTAACTAATACCTGCACTCAGTTAACGCACTATGCAGATATATGTATACGATTTAACTCAACAAAAGGTCCTCAAACTATGATACAAGAACTTGGTTATCCATTATTAGCCTATTGAAATTTCTCATACCCAAATTTAATTTCTGTGACTTTTGTGTCATAACAATTAAAGGGAGTTGTTACGATCCTTGACTTTGAAACTTCCGTCAGTCCGTCCATCTGTCCGTACGAACCCAGAGGTACTTGTGTGACTTGGAGAACAATGGGTAACAGTAAATTCTCTTTGATCCTATTCATTCCGTTTTTACTTGTGTGTCTTTTTTTAAGCCTTGTGTGACTAAAAATGGCCAAAAAGATCAAAGGAAAAGACACATAAGTACCATTTTGTGAGTCTGTCCGTCCGTCCGTACGTACGTCCCGAATTCGTGTCCGGCCCATAACTTTGATTTTTGAAGTCAGATTTTAAAACTATTTCACAGAAATAATCAGCATATTGAGACAACGTGTAGCGCGTAACATTTGGGTCGCTACCTTGAAGGTCAATGTCACAGCATGACCTTGCAGCAAAATCGTGTCCGGCACATAACTTTGTTACTTGAAGTCGGATTTTACAACTATTTCACAGAAATGATCACCATATTGGGACGACGTGTCACATGCAACATTTGGGTCTCTACCTTGAAGGTGAAGGTCACAGCATGACCTTGCAACAAAATTGTGTCCAGCCCATAACTTCGTTATTTGAAGTCAGATTTTACAACTATTTCACAGAAATGATCACTATATTGAGTCAATGTGTCGCACGCAACATTTTTTTTTTTTACACTTTGAACTTTGTCTGTGACATATCTCTGACACAACAAGAGGTATACCTTCTTGTGTCCAAAACCTATTTGGGGAGCATCACCTGGTTCAACCGGCTCTTGTTTAGTTTTATTTGTGATAGGTCGCTTAGGGTGTGTGACATTGGTACTATGTCAAACTAAACTATTCACCATCTCTTTGATAATGTTTGTCATTGGTATATTGATAAACTATCTACTGCTTCTATATATGACATTGGTATAATGCAAAACCAAACTAAAAAAAGTGGCGGCATGGCCAAGTTGTTAACGCGTCGGACTAGTAATCTTATGATCGCTAGCCGCATGTGTTCAAACCCCTTCAGGGGCAAATCGTTGTCTCCTTGAGCAAGAAACTTTACACTCATTGCTCAGTACTGGTTGGTTCCAGGAACGGATTCGAAAGTGTGTCTATAAGCTTATATCTTCCTACACAATCAAACTAAAATAAATTCTGTATAAACCAAAACCAACTTATTCATCCCCTCTCATAATTATTATGTCAAACAAACATCTGTCTGTCAGTCTGTGCGTCCCCACTTCATTTGTGTCCGGACTGTAACTTTGTCATACATTGAGGGATTTTGAAATAACTTGGCAAAAATGTCTACCGCATCAAGACAATATGTCACGTCCAAAAACCAAGTCCCTACCTCAAAACTAACATTTTGAAGTTTCACAGTTTGAGTTAATAGGTACACACATACGTGTCCGAACTGTAACTTTGTCAAACATGGAAGGATTTTAAAATAACTTGGCATAAATTTCTACCACATCAAGATGATGTGTTGCATTCAAGAATCACATCCCTACCTCAAAGGTCAAGGTCACACTAACATTTTGAAGTTTCAAATTATTACAATTAAAGTTAATAGGTACACTTAATCGTGTCCGGGCTGTAACTTTGTTATGTCCCAAAGGATTTTAAAATATTTTGGCATAAATGTCTACCACATCAAGACAATGTGTGGCATCCAAGAATCACATCCCTACCTCAAAGGTCAAGGTCACACTAAGATTTTGAAGGTTCACGCTATCACAATTAGAGATTATAGTTACACACATTCGTGTTCCGGACTGTTACTTTGTCATGCATCAAAGGATTTTAAAATAACTTGGCATAAATGACAACTACATCAAGATGATGTGTCGGGTCCAAGACCCATGTCCCTACCTCCAAGGTCAAGGTCACACTTATAATTTGAAGGATGTACACATTCCTGTCTGGACTGTAACTTTGTTGTTCATTGAAGGATTTTTAAATAACTTGGCACAAGTGTCTACCACATCCAGACAATGCTTTGCCGCTAAGGCCCATATCACTACTTTAAAGGTCAAGGTCACACTTAGAGGTTGACAGTATTCGTTTGTGTCCAAACTGTAGCTTTGTCATGCATGGAAGGATTTTAAAATTACTTGGCACAAAAGTCAAACACATCATGGTGATGTGTTTCATTTAAGACCCATGTCAGTTAGTCAAAGGTCAAGGTCACACTTACAATTATTTGAAAGTTTCACATTCTCATAAGAAGTGTTTAAAGGTACACACATTTGTGTCTGAACTGTAACTTTTTTATGCATGGAAGAATTTTTAAATAATGTAGCATATATGTCTACCACATTCAAGAGTGCATTAAAGACCCATGTCCCTACCTCCAAGGTCACTCTTACAGTCATCGTCCGTTACCCACTGTATACTACATTATCTAGATAATATACAATGTAGTATGTACGGAGGGTAACCAACAATGTCTTACAGTTAGAAGGCACTCATTTTCTTAAGAAAACCTTGAAGATACACATTCATGTCCGGACTATAACTTTGTCATGCATTGAAGCCTTTTAAAATAACTTGTCTACGACATCAAAATGATGTGTTGTGTATAAGACCCATGTTCCTACCTTCAAGGTCAAGGTCAGTCTAATAGTTTGCAGGTACTTTTGCTCAAAGGTACACATTAGTTTCCAAACTGTAACATTGTCATGCGTTGAAGGATTTTAAAATAACTTGGCATAAATGTCGACCACTTCAAGATGTTGTGTCTCATCCAAGACCCTTGTCCCAAGGTGGTAAGTTTGCTATAAGAAACACTTCATTTCACAAGAACAATATTAAGCAATTAGTGTACTTTCATTCTTTTCATGTGGGACATTTGTCACTTTTGCATGACATCTATTGTTTTTCTTCAGTTATTGTGCCCTGTGGAGAAATGTCACTTGTGATTCTTTAGTGACTAAATACAGGTGTTTAGGAGGATGGAGACATAATGGGGATAACAACTGTAATATCCGTGAGTATCATTATTTTACTGAGACTTATTTTAGGGGTAACTGAACATGCCTGTGACATATATAAGATATACAAGTACATTTTTCTTCCATAAATGCTCAAGCACTAATAATGTAACGTGTACCGAGCTTAAATATACGTATTTGCATTCAAAATATTACATTAATTATTTTCCTCTAGGTTTCCTTACCTTAATGGTTGAAGACCAATGATTTCAAAATAATTGGAATATAAATTAATCAACTTGAATTAAACAAATATTAGATAAACAATACACAATATTGATATATTTGGTTACAATCCCAAATCTTTCCTAGTCTCTATGCCTAGTCTTGATGCCTTTCTAACATATAATTCGTCTCGATGCCTACCTATTATACTTTGCTCGAATTTTCTATGCCTTCTGTTTTATTTATCTCCAAATAATTATCCAACAAATATCCTGCAGCCCGGTTTACTTTCTACTATATAAGAACCTGCAATCCTCTCCTGGTAGCGTTGCCCCTTAGAGAACTTGGATCACAGACAATATATAGCAGGTATAAATTCAAAGCTCCAAGATTAGATGTTGACAATCTGACTTTCACCAATACAAACCAAACTCATGTGTGTGTGTATTTGCGTTTATTTATACTCGCCACCGGTTGCCCATATGGGCAAGTCCTCCAGAAGAGTATTAGTCATTTTATATTTTTGGATGATAGTGTAAAATACAGATACAGAAAGATGCCCCAATTCCAGAACCTTCTCCTGGTTCTTTAATGTGCCGAGTGATTAAGTACTGATACGCGGGACCTTGATTTAAAGTCTCACCCGAAAGACTGATTAGTAATTTTAGTTGGCCAGCCCGGGAATCGAACCCACAATGTCGAGATTACAAGTCTCGCGCTCTTACCGATTGAGCTATGCGGGCTGGCTAAACCAAACTCACCTTGAATTCCTCTGCTTATATATGTTATGCACAACAACGCCCTCTTACGGCTATTTATGATTGGCTAGTTAACTTACAATACAATTATACAGAAACGAGCACCTGCTAATAATGTTATATAGATTATATAGTCCGCATTACAAATAATGTCAATTAAAACATTGTAGCAGAAACTATTAATACTTTACATTACAATCGACATCAAAGAAATGCTCACATCATTATTTACAACAAAATAATGGCAAACTAACCTTGTAAAATATGATAAGACTCAGAACGTAGTGTTTACGCTTGTAACGTGCAAATGGCGTTAAATATTAAAGGGCTGTAACTCGTAATAATTGTTACATTACCCACGCCCCCAAAGTCATGCGTCTCGCATGTTAAACTATCAACAAATCAATCTTTTATGCATTTATTGATGATAATGTTAATCACAAAACTTACTGTGATTATTGCAACATAAACAAAATAAAAAAAATGACGAACTATCTGTCTCATAAATGTTTTAAACTGGATTTTTCTGTCATTACGTCTATTATTTCTTTTCACTCACTACGTCCATAATCATCTTGATAACTTTCATTTCATGCTCCTTGTCATACTGTCTCTGTCGCTCTTCTGCATCCCTATCTTCTCTTCTCTTTCTCTCCTCTGCTTCTTGTCTTGCAAACTCAAGTTGAATTTTCCTTTCCTCAATTTCAAGTTTCATCTTTTCTAACTGTATATCCTGATTCTTATTTACTTTCTCATTAAAACTCTGCATAAACAACCTCAGATTGTGCATTATCAGAATTTGTATCTATGTCAATTTCAAGTGAACTTTTACTAACTGTTTCTATCTCAGTAGGCTTATGTAAGTTTTTCTCAACATTGTTATTTATGTCTTCTTCTTTATTATCATCAACGAAAGTATCTTTACTTTCATCTTGCGTAGTTTTTAGTATCTTAATAGGTGCTTGAACTGGTTTCGGCAATGTTCTTTTACAGAATATTCTTCCAAGTCTAATGTCATTGATCTGTCTTTTGTCAGGTTTTATCATTTCACTATCATCATCGTGAATATCATCCACTTTTGTATCACTTATGAGTGTTTCCTCAATCACTATCTCAGAGTCTTCATCCCAACTATGGTTAGACTCTGCGTCTGTGTCTTGCTCACTTTGAACAACGCTCTCTTTTGAACAGCTTGTTTCTGATTTCTCACTATCATTATGTTGTCTCTTCTGATGTTTTCTTAGATAAGCAACCTTTTTGAAGCTTATACCACACGTTTCACAGGGAATTCTAGTCTCTACAATTCATAATGTGATCCATGAATTGAGATGGTTCTATCACATCTTTACAGTAGGGACAAACAGTTTTTGTCTCTTTCTTCTTTTTCTGTGGAGGTTCAGCTATACTGAATAGAAAAGCAATAGTCATTTAAATATGACGTTTTTCGTATTTCCCCTTGTCTGAATAACGTCTTCTTCATTGTCTGCATCTGAAAAATCTTCGCTATAATTTATCTGATTATCTTGATCAACACTTACCTCAGTCTCCATATCTTCAGGTGATCCCTGACCTTCATTTAGATTATCTATCATCTGGCTTTTTACCTTTCTCATCCTGTTATAATGTACTATTCGATTTGATGCCATCCTACCACAATTAACTTTATATAAAACATCAGATACCTTCTCAGTTACTTCAAATGGTACTTTCCAAAAGGATGTGAACTTTGAAGATCAACCTAGCTACCTTTTTAACAGGAAAGAAAACAAGAACTTTATCACCTGGTGTAAAACTATCGTATGAAGTTTTCCTATCATGATAAATTTTCTGTCTCTTAATTGATTTACCAGTATATTGTCTTACTGTGTTATGAGCAGTCTCAAGCCTTTCTAATAGTTCCCATGCCCATTTAGATGTAGGAATAGATTTCATATTCGATGGCATTTCAAATGCTAAGTCTAATGGTGTCGACGTTTCCCTACCTAACATTAAGAAATTAGGCGACATACCAGTTGTTTCATTATCAGTTGCTCTATAAGTCATCATTATATATTGTAAATGTTCATCCCAGTCAAGGTGATTTTCCTTCACAAACATGCTTAACATAGTAGCTAATGTTTTATTGAATACTTCTACCATTCCATCAAACTTTGCAATAGGTAACAATAAGAAGCTAGGCTATTAATGATAAGGCCTCCACACACGGAGGAGGGAGGGGGCATTTCTAGAACCATACACTTACGTCATTCTGACTCGTTTGAAATGTGATGTAGATGGGCATAATATTATTTTACACCATGTGTTGTGGATAGGCATATTTTACACTAAACACTGTCTTAAAGTTGTCCAAAAGCAAATACCCTTGGTGATCTAAGAGGGTGAGGGATTCAGTAATACTTCTTTAATCATAGAACATTTTAGAATTATTTCTTTTGACATTTTCCAGCAATATGTAAGCCGGACTGTGGATCAGTTGGAGAGTGTAAAGCCCCTGGTAAATGTGACTGCAAAGGCCAGGCAGAAGGTCAATATTGTCAGACATGTAAGTAATTCTTATCAATTATGTATCACGAACATTCAAATGTTGATAAGTTTGGTCTTGTACTGAATCCAGTAAATCGCAAAGACATCAAGCCTGTCTTGACAGGTTACATGTACATAATTAATGAACGACGGACTGAAGATGACCTTGTTAATTTAAATATCTTTCATTCTAGAATATCAGTATTACCCTGTATATAGAGCTGTTATTTAATTTATGATGTAATAGCTAGAAATTCACAAATAAAAGTATTTCCTTTTCTTTTTCAGTGGTATGTTCTTATGCTAGTCCATGTTACCCAGGAAACTGTTATAAAAAAAGCTTATGTAAGTGTAACCGTGGATTCACAAAGGAAAATTCGACATCGGAATACGGCTGTTTACAAAGTATGTTTTATATCAAAGGTGTTGTTTTTATGCCACCGCAGCATCTGCGATGCGGTGGCATATAGCGATTCACCTGTGTGTTTGTTTGTGTGTGTGTTATATAGATTATATAGTGAACTTAAAAAATCTTCTTGTGAAAAACCACTAGTCCAATTTCAACCAAACTTGGCAGGATTGATCCTGGAGTGAAGGGCTTCCAAAGTTGTTCAAAGAATTTCATTCCATGCAGAAATCTGGTTGCCATGGCAACCAAAACGAATTATAAGAATAAATTTAAAATATCTTCTTGTAAAGACCCAAAAGACCTAGAGCTTAGATATTTTGCATAAGGCATTGTTTGGTAGATCTCTAACAAGATTGTTCAAATTATAGCCTTGGGGTCAAAATCGGCCCACCCAGGGGGGTCATTGATTTTCACTATATGTACATATAGTAAAAACTTAAAATACCTTCTTGAAAAGACCCAGAAGGCCTAGAGCTTAGATATTTTGCACAAGGCATTGTCTGGTAGACCCTAACCAAGATTGCTCAAATTATAGCCCTGGGGTCAAGATTGGCCCGGCCCTGGGGGTCATTGATTTTCACTATATGTACATATAGTAAAAACTTAAAATACCTTCTTGTAAAGACCCAAAAGGCCTAGATCTTAGATATTTTGCATAAGGCATTGTCTGGTAGACCTCTACCCAGATTGTTCAAATTATAGCTCTAGGGTCAAGATCGGCCCTGCCCTGGGGGTCATTGGTTTTCCTTATATGTTTATAGTAAAAACTTATAGTAAAAACTTTAAAAAAAATTCTTCTAGCAATTGACAAATGCTAGAGGGTAGATATTTTGCATGAAACATTGTGAAGTGAACTTCTAGCAAGATTGTCCAAATTAAAGCCCTGGGGTAAAAATTGCCCCCGCCCGGGGGGTCATTGATTTTCAATATATACATATAGTAAAAAATCAAAAAATCTTATTGTGTAAAGGTACAAGGCATAGTCTAAGCTTTGATGTTTGCTATATGATATCATCTATAGGTCCTCTATCAAAGTTGTTCAAATTTTTCCCCTGGTGTCAAAATTGGCCCTGCCCGGGGGGCAGTGTTTCTCATTATGTACACATAGTAAAAACAGAAAATAAAACAAATGTTTTCTGAATGGGAGAAAGCTACAGCTTAGATATTTGACTTGAAATGTTGTTTGGTGGACCTGTATTAAGATTGTTTTGAATTAAACCCTTGGGGTCCAAAATTTTGCCTTGCCCAAGCGGACAGTGACCTACTTTCTTGTCCTTTGATGTACAGCAATGAAATTTTGAAGATGTGCACAGTTTTAGTTGTAAAATTGAACTTTGATATCAGCTGACCTAGATTTTGATGATGTGACCTACTTTCATGTCCTTTGATGTACAGCTATGAATCGTATCTCTGAAACCATGTGCACAGATTAAGATGTAAAGTGAACTTTGATTTCAGCTGACCTAGATTTTGACAAAGTGTCTTACTGTGTTGTCCTTTGATGAAATTTAGGCTGTGTGAAATATGACCTTCACCACCAAATTCACTAGACTTGAGTGCATTGATATATTCCTACTCTGATCTTTTATTGAGTTAACAACAGATTTAACCACTAATCTGATGATAAGAATTAGATATGTCAGGGATCTATGCATTATGACAATCTTCAAAATTGTATAGAAACAAAAACAAATATGTTCCTACACTACTATTTAGTGTTGTATTGATACGGTGGCATAGCATTTTTCTCAAATGCAATCTTGTTTTATCTATACTCTGCAAGAATTGAAAAAAAAATGAACTACACATATTTGCATATAATTATTATGATCTTATATCAATTAATATAGATTCTTTTTAAAACAATAAAAAATAGCTTATCAAAGATTTATAGACCTAGCATTATAAGCCAATTGGAAGGACTGAGAAAAAATATGAACGTAAAAAAAAAAATTTACTAACAGTTATAAAATTGCAAAAAAAAAAACTACAACAAAATAAAAAACAACAACAACAGTAATACAATTTAATCTTATTCATTTGGCTAGAAATCAAATGTGTTATACATGTATTTTATATTAAATATATATCACATTATTATTCTTAATGCCAGGACTGGCCTGCAAAATGAAGTAAAATGTATTGTGACTGCGTAGCCTGGTAACTGTGATATATTCTGTTATTCAGAGATAAATCAAGGATGGATGAGTATTTTGCGTAAATTAATCAAATAATATTTTAATATTTGAAAATGCTTTTTCTATTTTTTCATATTTTTTTTTAGCGTGATCGCTTTTCGTCCGACGTCCGTCCGTTGTCTGTCTGTAAACTTTAACCTTAAACAACATCTTCTCATAAACTGCTAAGCCAATTTCATCCAAACTTTACAGGAATGTTCCTTTGGTAGTCAACTTAAAAAATTGCATAAGAGCTGAACTCTAGTTGCCGAAAGAAAAAACTTAAAATATCTTCTTTTAGAAAACCGAAAGAGCTAGAGCTTAGATTTTAAGCATGAAACATATTCTAATGTGTGTCTACCAAGTTTGTTCAAATAAAAGCCCTGGGCTTAAAATTGGCCCGGCCCTGGGGAACATTGATTTTCCTTATTTGTATATAGTAAAAACCTAAAAAAATATTCTTTTTTAAAACTCCAAAGAGCTAGAGCTTAGATATTAAGCATGAAACATTTTCTAGTGGGTGTCTACCAAGTTTGTTCAAATAAAAACCCTGGGGTTAAAATTGGCCTGCCCCTTGGATCATTGATTTCCTTATTTGTATATAGTAAAAACTTAAAAAATCTTCTTTTAAAAAGCCCAAATTTAAGCTGGAGCTTAGATATTAATTAAAAAAATAAAAAAATTCAAAAATTACAATTTTTCACCAAAATTAGGTGTAAGGACACGTGTTTACATGGTAAAACTAGTTTTTGGGTAATTCCAAGTTCTTTCATCATTTTTTGTTAATTAAAAAAATAAAAAATGTCAAAAAACAACAATTTTTCACCAAAAATAGGTGTTAGGGCATGTGTTAACGAGGAAAAACTAGTTTTAGGGTAACTCCAAGGTTTTTCATCATTTTTTGTTAAGCATGAAACATCTTCTGGTGGATGTCTACAAAGTTTGTTAAAATAAAAGCCCTCAGAGGTCAAAATTCGCCCCGCTTCAGGGGGTCATTGTTTTTCCTTTATGTATATAGTAAAATCTTCTTTTAAAAAGAGCTAGATCTAAAATATTTAGTGGGGATAATTGATTTTCCTTATTTGTTTATAGTAAATTAAAAAATTTTAAAAATCTTCTTTTAAAAAACCCAAAAGCTAGAGTTAAGATGTTAAGCATGAACTATCTTCACCCAATAAAAGCCCTGGGGACAAATTGGCCCTTCCCAGGGGGGGGGGGGTGTCATTGTTGCTAGTGCTTAGATATTTATCTTGAAACATCTTCAAATTGGTGTCTACCAAGTTTGTTCAAATAGCCCCTGGGGGCCTATATACAGGTGAGCGATCTCAGGGCCATCATGACCCTCTTGTTTTGTGGGTTTTTTTCGGGGGGGGGGGGGGAATGGGGGGGGGTTGCTGGGGGGGGACAGGGCGAAGGACAAAAATCGAAGGAGGGACAAATCGAAAGAAATGAAGGAAATTTGGTCATATGAGGCACTTTGCTAATTCAAATGTAATTGTTTATCTTATTTATAGTTGACACAAACAACAAACCGTACATTGGTAAATCAACAAGTGTCATAGAACACACTAGAAAAACTGATAATAAATTCCTTTTCTACTTCTTGTTGGACGGCACGGATGAGTCAATACGCAATCGTACTGTTTGGAGTAATCAAAGGGTGTTTAACATCATGCATTTCAAATTCGAGGTTAGCTACAAGGCACCAGAACCTCTGGCTGAAAGACCGGTTTATGTTCATAAAACAGCAGTTGGTATTACGGAGGGGAAAGTTTTACTTCGAGTTCTAGATTACAAAAATGGTATATAAGATTCAATCATTGTTTCTCTTTAAATATTGCGAATATATCATATAATATCATATCATATCATGTCATAACAAAAGTTTCTGTCCTTGTTTGTTTACATATATTGCGCATACACATCTATAATGAAATAACAGACTTAAACCAGGTTTGTTTTCAACAAACGTCGGGTATTACTCAAATCATTATTAAAGCATGGCTACATGCACATATATGATTAATTGTGTTTGTATGATGATTTTCATTATATCATATCGTATTATAACATACATATATCATATCACCAGTACCTGTCACACCATTCATTTCCGTATCGTACCATATCGTACCATATCGTACCATATCGTACCATATCGTACCATGACGTATCAAATCATACGGTATCATAACGGTTTCGACCCACTCAATTCTTGCTCTCATTATTCAATAGTTAATCAGTCACTTTGATGTTAAATTCTTGAATCTGAAATT